CCCAGAAGGTTAGAAGGAATGATGTGTAAAATCTAAACCTGTGGAAATGAGGGCTGGGCCTTCATGCAGATGCCCACCTGGCAAGTGCAGACAGGATTGAACCCCAGAAATCTAAAACTTGTGCATTTGTTAGGCCACTTCATCAAGATTGATGTTTTAAAAATGCTTTGCCTTCAACAGTCATCACTTCAAGGAGTTTTCCCTGATTATTTCTATCCCAGTTGATTTCTCCCTTTGTATTCTGTAGCATCTTCTGTACAACATGGAATTAGCTCTCATGGACTTCTTTTATTATTTATTTATTTATTTATTTATTTTTAAATATTTTATTTATTTCACAGAGAGCACAAGCAGGGAGAGTGGCAGGCAGAGGGAGAGGGAGAAGCAGACTCCCCACGGAGCAGGGAGCCTGATGTGGGACTCGATCCCAGGATCCCGGGATCATGACCTGAGCCGAAGGCAGTCCCTTAACCAACTGAGCCACCCAGGAGCCCTCATGGACTTCTTTTAATTCTTTTCTTTCACATGTATCTGTCTTCTCTTAACTTGTGTAGTTGGAGGGGGGCATGATTTGTCAGGCATATTAAGAAGTAAGATTATGAAGACTGTTCATCCATACTGAGAAAATAAACCTGCCTTTTCTGAAGCACTGTTTCCATGAAAATCATTATTTCAGACCATCTTACCTGGTTGCTGAAGGGCCTCTGGCGACAGTGTTAACCTAGTTCAGGTTTGTATGCACACTTGAAAATTACCTAGAGGTGTCTCCTAAATAGCTTATAATTCTAGCTCACCACTCCCCACCCCGCAGGATAAATGGATACCTTCTTTTTTGAGTAATGAGTCCCGACAAGACCTAAAAATTACATCACCAAAACAAAGAGATCATTTGTTTGCACTCTTTTCTTGTCCCAGCATCATCTTATTCCTGCCCCTGTTGTAAGACCACACACCCCCCTTAGGGGAACAGGAGAGCGGGTAAAAGGGGAATTAGCCACCCATTGTGGCCTGACTCTAGCCATTGAGAGAGTTTCTAGGAATGGAGCAAGAGTAGAAATTGGGGGCTGCAGATTACACTTTTCCAGCTCATGGGCTCAGCTTCTAAACATCTTCATGTGTAGCTTTTTAAACAGCCACATGGTGAGGCTGTGGCTCTATGAAAACCTGTCTCAGTAGGACTTGGTCACTCATCTCTCCATCCTGTCACTCTCTTCCCTCTTCCATGTGCTGATCTGCTTTGTAACTTGTTCCCTTGATGGTTCATGAAGAGCTCGGGTTCTGGAGTCACACCGTCCTGGATTTGAATCTCTCTCAGCCTTGGTTTCCCTCTCTGTGAAGGGAGATAAGGGGACCTGCCTCCCGTGGGAAACCCACTCTCGCAGACTGCTGGGGGGGGGTGTAAATGGGTGCCACCCTTAGAGGCCATTTGGCAACATAGGCAAAGTATGTGCAGATGCCTTCCCCTCCGCAGCTGTACTTCTGGATGTTGATGCTGTGCACGTGCTAGCAGGTGCGCAAGGGCTGGGTGCACTGTGTGCTTCTGCCTGGTTGGTGGTGGTTCCTTGCTGCGTTGCTTGCAATAAGGAAAGACTGGAAATAACCCCAGTATCCACCCGTAAGGGACCAGTGAAATAAACCAAAAGGCACTCTACCGGAATACAGTGCTGGGCAGTAATAGGAAAGAAAGGAAGCTCGCTCTCTCTGTGTATTGCTGAGGAAAGGTATATGAGATCCTTTTTTTAAAAAAAAAAGGAAAGAAAACATTTTGAACAGGATGTCCTGTACAGTGTGCTGCTTTTACATAAAGAGGGAGGATGAAAGAGATTTTTGTGTTTGCTTGCATATGCGTCAAGAGGTAAGAGGGCGCCTGGGTGGCTCAGTTGGTTAAGCAACTGCCTTCGGCTCAGGTCACGATCCTGGAGTCCCGGGATCGAGTCCCGCATCGGGCTCCCTGCTTGGCGGGGAGTCTGCTTCTCCCTCTGATCCTCCCCCTCTCATGCTCTCTGTCTCCCATTCTCTCTCTCAGATAAATAAATAAAAAATCTTTAAAAAAAAAAAAAAAGAGGTAAGAGACATACAAATTACTGAGACTCTTTACCTATTTTTATGGGAATTTCTAATAGTAAATATTTTGCCTTTGTTCTCTGAAACATTGGCTGCTTTTTTTTCCCTCTGTTGGATTCCTTTGTGGCTTGTAAGGTGACTTGTTACACTGATTTCTGTGCCCCCCCCCCACAACGCTGATTGGCACCTGCTGACACGCAGTATACATCGTGCGCCGGGCACGTGCCCGGCATGCCCTGTGTGCGGTAGCTGGTTTGTTTTATTTATTTTTAATACTTTTATTTATTTGTGAGAGAGAGAGAGGGAACACAAGCAGGGGGAGCGGCAGGCAGAGGGAGAGGGAGAAGCAGGCCTCCCGCTGAGCAGGGAGCCCGATGCAGGGCTTGATCCCAGGACCCTGGGATCATGACCTGAGCCGAAGGCAGACGCTTAACCAACTGAGCCACCCAGGCATCCCTGTGGTAGCTGGTTTTAGTGAGGGATGGAGACAAGGGCAGAGGGAGACTTCTATCTGTAGCGCATTTTATATTTCAACCACGTTACCTGTCCAAAAAACCCCGTGCAGTGGTTGTGAGAAGTAAGAGAGTACGTGTGAAGTGTGTATGCTCTTCTGGGGTCACCTCTGAATGGGCCTGGAGCCTCATGTGCCCAGGCAGACAGAGTAGGACCCTTTTCCAGGACGGGATGCTCTCAAGGTGTGGTTGTGCCCACCCAGTTCCCCAGTGTGCGAGCTGAGCAGGATGAGCCCCCTCTCCACCGGCAGCCCCACTTTCTCAGGCTTCCCTGTTGCTCCTAGCACCTCCTCTTGCTGTCACTTCAGCTCCTGGTCTCTGCGGAAGCAAGGCTATTTTTGTTCAGGTTCTAGCTTTGAGGTTGGTCCAGTGCATTCCAGGTGGCCTCCGAAATCCCGGGCACTATGCTTTCCTTGTTCCCCTTCCAAATCCTCCCGAAGCTCTTGCCCCACCTGCCAGCTCTCCTGCCCCAGCCCCCAGTGCTCCCAGCCTGTACTTGTTTCTGTACTCTTAGGCTGACCGCAGGGGTCTCTGTTAGCCCTGAAACTCTTAAAGGAACGGTTGTATTTTCAGGTCCAGCTCCCACATTGTTCCTTCTTCCCTCCCTGAGTGCTCGCCCTGGTTCTCCCTCGCCTGCCTGCCCCCCAGCCCGGTGCACGCTCGCGCGTGCTCTCTCACTCACTCTCTCACTGTCCCGTGCACACATGCTATGTGGCCATTGCCATTGTTATCCACCCGGATTTCCATGGCTTCCCTCAGCTGCAAGTTAATCACAACCCAGGCTAGTGGGAGAAGAGTTGCGGCTCGCCCTCTCTCCGGTCGCTGGCCACCCTTGGAATGAGAAGTCGCCACCAGCTCCACAGCCCGAGGTGGGGTTTCTGTGTTTTGAGAGGATCCTGCCTCCTCCAGCAGGCAAAGCGGTCACTGTAGGAACACCCTGGGCTCAGCCAGGGCCTGAGCAGGCCCTGCCTTGCTGTTCCCTAGAGCACAGAGGTCAGGGCCAGGCCCTAGCCGCCTGCCGATGGGAGCACTGCGGCAGCAGAACTGTGGCCGTGGCCGGGCTGGTGCAGGGAGGCCCCAGGGGGGCCGGGGCGGCTTTGCGCCTTGGCTCTGATCTGGACCCGCCTTCACCTGCCTGGGCCCCTGGTGCTGGCGCTGCTGCTGGCCGTGTAAAAGCAGAGGACAAAATGGTCTGCTCCTCCTTCCCCTTCAGAAAACTCCGGGGTCCGGGAAAAACCAGACCTGTGTTCTCCTCTGAGGAAGTAAACACTGTTTGTTCTTTCTTTTCTTTGACCAAAAAAAAAAAAAAAAAGAAAACGTCCTTTTCTTTGAAGTATAGTTGACATATTTATATTAGTTTCACACGTACAACCTAGGGATTCCACAGTCGTACACATCACACAATGCCAACCAATGTAAGTGGGTAAGTATCGTCACCATCTGTCACCATACAGTGTTATTACAATATTATGGACTTTATTCCCCACACTGTGCTTGCTTACTTTTTATACATCCCTGTGACTTATTTACTTTATAACTGGAAGCTTATACCTCTTAATCCCCTTCACCTATTTCACCCATCCCCCCCACCTCCGGCAACCACTAGTTTGTTCTCTCTGCGTCTGTTTCTTTTTGTTGTTCTTTGTTTTGATTTTTAGATTCCACATATAAATGAAAACATGTGGTATTTGTCTTTCTCTGACTTATTTCACTTAGCATAATACCCTCTAGGTCCATCCACGTTGTCAGAAATAGCAAGATTTCATTCTTTGTTTCCAGAGTCTTAAGCTGTTTCCATATCTTGATTGTGGTAAATAATGCTGCATTGATCTGTTCAAATTAGTGTTTTCCTTTTCCTCCCGTAACTGTCCACAAGTGGAAGCGCTGGAGCGTCCTGTCCTGCGGGCTTTCGGGCTTTCGTTGCCTGAGGAGCCCGCACACTTCCACACAGGCTGCGCGGTTTCAGTAATTCACCAACACTGCACAGGGGGCTCCCTTTTCTTCACCTTGTCGCCAGCACTTCTTATCTTTTTGATTTGGGCCATTCTCACAGATGTCAGGTGATCTCTCACTGTGGTTTTAATTTGCATTTCCCTGATGATGAGTGCTGTTGAGCATCTTTTTATGTGTCTGTTGGCCATCTGTGTGTGTTCTTTGGAAAAATGTCTATTCAGGTCCTCTACCCATTTTTAAAAATCAGATTTTTTTTTTGACATTGAGTTGTATGAGTTCTTTATATATTTGGTTTTTAAATGCTTATTGGGTACATGATTTGCAGGTATCTTCTCCCATTCAGTAGGTTACCTTTTCTTTTTGTTGCTGGTTTCCTTCATTGCAGATGTCTGTCTTAATCATTAAAAAGCAAGGTTTCCTAGGTACAGATGCAGAGAATGTATCTTTTTCTTTTCTCTTCCCATTTTGTAGAGAGCTGCAGGCTTCAGGGGAACCCTGACCTGGGGACGTCTCCATGGCCTTGGGGGAAGAAAAGGCCGAGGTGGAGGCATCCGCGGACACAAAGACCCTGTCCTGCGGACGGCGGAGCTGCGGAGCGCAGGAGGTGGACGCCCCGGGGCTCGTAGGCGGGAAGCAGGAGGAGCCCCCGTGCCTGGAAGCCCAGGCTGTGGCAGGGTCTGCCTCCCCCGTGTGGGGGACAGAGGGACTGTCTGTGCCTGCCGCCAGCCTCTCTGGAGCCGACCAGCCCCAGGCCAACACCACCAGCAGGGAGCCAGGAGCTGGTAGATCTAAGCTTGCTCTTGGTTGCCTGCCCCTTCCTGCTGGCACTGGGACTAGAGACCTTTTGCACTCTGTGGGGAGACAGGTAGGTAATAAGGCGAATGGGACGGTAGATGTAACTATTGTGGTCCTTTGGGAGTATGTTTTAGCATTTCCTTACCATCTTACCTGCTTTCCCAGCCCCTGTACAAGGAGGGGAATGGGGGGGTGGGGAGTCTGGGTGTGATGATTTCTGTTTTACAGGCTCACCTGGAGAGTTGGGCTTTGGGGCCAGTGGGGGACTCTGTCCACAGCATCTCCTGTTCCTCAAGAGTGTGGCTGGTGACCTTCTGAAGACTGGGGATGCTGTGGCCAAGACCTTGTGCCCAGAGGGCTGGGCCATGGAGCTGTGATAGGGGGAGCTGTGTCCTGTTTCTGACTTGGTGATCTGAACTCTTGGGGGTGGGGGGCCCTGACGAGACTTGGGGAGGGAGGGTGCAGGGCTGTGGGCTCCTTCGAGCTCTGAGACTCTATCCCCTTGGGACCCAGGGAACCTGACAGAGCCTTAGAGCCCCCATGGTGGGCGCCACTGTCCCTGGGTAAGTAGAATTTCTTGGGCCTCCCTGACTGCAGGGAAGCCTGGCCTAGTCAAGTCACAGGGAGCAAGCAGTCGTGCTTGGCTCTGTGACCTCAGTCTTTCAGGCCCTCAGTATAATTGGGAAGGTGACCGAATGATCCATCCTTCCCGACTCTGACATCCTGTTATGTTCTGCTTGCCAAGGCCCTCCATGGGAAAGGCTTTGATTGCGCCAGGATCACTGTGGCCTTGGCTGCTGCATGCTGCCCCCACGCGGTTCTGCCCCGTGAGGATGCTCTGAGTATGACTGTCTGGGAGAAAACAGCAGCTGGGTCCGTCTGCCTGGGAGCCAGGAGTGGTGCCCAGGGCACCTGTGAATCCGAGATTTAGTGAGGCAGCAAGTAAATGAGCAAACACAGAAATAGGCTGTTTCATGAGCTCACCACAAATGGGCTTATTATTGTGGTGCCTGTTCGTCGAGCTCTGACCCTGTGCTTTTCACACCTGAGTTCCTTTAATCCTCATGTCCCGAGGAAGTGCTACTATTACTCTCCCCATTTTACAGATGAGGGAAGGGAGGCCCAGAGTCTCCATCTGGAAGATGGCAGTTGGGTTGGCATCAAGTCTGTCTGGTTCCAAAGCCCACGCCCTTAACCACCGTGCTGTCCTGCCTTCCTCGGGGGCAAGTTCTTCATCGAACAGATGAGTTGAAGAGGCTGAGATGAGGGGCTCCCTTTGTTCATTTATAACAGGCATGAGCTGAACAGGTGGGGCCTGGTGGGTCACCTGCAGAGGGGGCGGGCTGTGGATGAGTCTTGGGGCAGGGGTTTCTCCTGCCCAGGACACGCTTCTCCGAGGTTAGGTGGTATGCCCCAGCCCCGGCGTGACGGAGCCGCTGTGTGCTTGCCTGAAGACGGGAGGGTGGGAGTGGTTTGGGGACGACGGTCGGCTTCCCGGAGCACGTGGAGCTGTCGTGCTGGCCCCTCGCCACACGCTGTCTAGTTCTTGCATCAGATGGCAGACTCTGATTGCAAGAGCTCTCCAGAATATCATCTGGGTCCCCAAGGAAAATTCCACAGTTGTCCTCTAAGAAAGAAATGTGGTTTGCTTATTTTCACCTTAGTGCCTTTTCTTCCCTCTTCTCATTGCAGATGGAGGAGACCAGGCTTTCTGCCTCAGAGGATCTACCTCAGACTCTTAGCGTTCCCCGAGCCGCAGGCCTTTGCTCAGGACACGATGCCCACAGCGAAGATAACCCGTCCCCGGTTGAGTCGCCGCGGGCGCTAGACCTCAGCCAGCAGCCCCACAACTCGGGTTTCCCTTTCCCGCCAAGGTGGAGGCCGCTGGGGAGCCAGGCTGCCGCTGCTCCTCAGTTCTCCAGCTGCAGCGTCTCTGCCTCCTCCCTGGGCAGCAGTCTGCAGGGTCACCGAGAGAAGGCAGAGCCTCCACGTTGCTCAATCGCCAAGGTCTCCTCCTCCCTGGAGCTGGTCGTCCCGCAGTCGGCCCCCTCCGTGGTGGGGCCAGGGCCGGGGCTCCAGTGGTCACCACAGCCCGCGTCCCCCGGGGTTGATGCTTCTGGGCTGGGCAGGAGGCGCCTCTCCTTCCAGGCCGAGTACTGGGCCTGTGTGCTACCAGACTCCCTGCCTCCTTCCCCCGACCGCCACTCTCCGCTCTGGAACCCGAATAAAGAGTATGAAGATCTGCTGGACTATACTTACCCACTTAGGCCCAAGCCTCAACTCCCAAAGCACCTTGACAGTCATATACCGGCTGACCCTGTCCTGCAGGACTCCGGCGTAGACCTGGATAGCTTTTCTGTGTCCCCAGCAAGTACCCTGAAGTCACCCACTAATGGCTTTCAGAATTGCCCATCAGCAGAGGCCTCTGCCCTGCCATTCTCTAGGCCCAGAGAGCCAAGCCTTATGCGGTGGTCCTCTGGAGTACCCCAGAAGCAGGGCAGCGTGGGGTTGGCATCTTGTAACCAGCTCACATCTACCCCCAGAGCCCCAGGCAGTAGGGACGCTCCTTGGGAGAGCAGAGAGCCAGCCCCGAGGGGTGTGAAGGACTGGCTCCCCATGAGCAAGCACCTTGAGGTGGGTTCTCCCCAGCTGAGGACATGGGACAGAGGGTGGCCTTTGCCCAGGACAGAGAGAGAGAAGGGGGCCAGCCAGGGCGTCTGGCACCCTGCCTGCACAGAGTCTGGGTGGAAATCAGAAGAGGAGGTAGAAAGTGATGACGAGTACCTTGCCCTGCCCACTCGGCTGACGCAGGTTTCTAGTTTGGTTTCATATCTAGGTTCCATTCCCACCTTGGTGACCCTGCCCACTGGGGCCGCCAAAGGGCAGACCTCCCTGGATGTGTCAGACAGTGATGAGCCAGCTTCCCTCCCGTCGGACTCGAGCCAAAGCCAGCTTCCTTCTGGGGCTGCCTTCAGAGGGCCCAGGGGCCCCGAGGGCCAGAACCGCCGTTTGCTGTGCTCCTTCATCCAGGCAAGGGGCTGTGCAGGGGACAGCAGTGTGGGGAGCCGCCAGGCCCTGGGGGTCTCCGGTCTGCTGGGAACACGCTCTTCCCTGCCAGCTGTGTGGGACCGGCGCGCGTGCTTGGACCCAGATGCCACAGGGCAGCTTCCTGGGAAGGGAGAGCCGGGAGAAGAATCGCTCGTGCAGTGTGTGAAGGTAAACCTACGTTAAAGGGGCTTCGCCTAGAGGTGTGGCTTCTGCCAGTGCATGGAATCAAACGTAGTAACCTTGAGCACTTTATATGTGCCAGGCACTGTGCTGTGCCTTCTTACTTGGTTCTCACCACTCGGCCCAGTGAGGACTACTGTTGTCATTCATGTTTGGAGAAAAGGCAGTGAGCGGTTAGGTAAGGTGCCTACCCAAGGCTGGAGCCTGAGCTTAACCACCACTCAAGGCTGCTTCCTAGGCCTCTTGACCTTGAGGATTAAGAGGTATTCTGCATAAGAAACGTCTGTGTTCACATGCCTTTAGGAAATACTGAACGAAGGTAAATGGTTTTCTTGACTGTAGGACTTCTGAGAGCTTCAGTTTGATAAAGTGGTGGAGCTGCAGAGTTGGGAGTCATTAGATGCACCGTGTCCTAGCCATCTTGGTCACCAGACCTCGTAGACGCGTGACTGTCTGGAGGTAGAATTCACTCTGGGGAGCGGGGTCGCCAGCATCAGGCAGATCTGAATTTGAATCCAAATCACTGCCATATTTGGAATTGCAGCTCAGTCTTCTGAGTTTGCTCATTTGTAAGACGTGGAGCCTTGCCTCTTCGGGATGTTGTGTGGATTACATGAAATAATTCATGCCAAGGGCTTTGCGTAGTCCCTGATACAAGGATGTTCGGGAACATGGCTCTCCACACACACAGTCCACGCGCGGCCTCGTGTCCTGGGTGAGCGCACGGACACTGCACACGCGCAGCGGCTGGCCAGGTGGCGGGAGACCCATGAGCCAGCACGACAGACGTTTCCTAGCATCTGAGGGCTTCAGTCAGCCCCGCAATGTCCCATGTATGATTTTATTTGTCCTGTGAAGCAGGTAGGGCGCATGTTAGCATGTGCCTCTTTTGTGATAAAAGATTGAAATACTTCGAGGAAAATGCAAAACAGGGACATGCAGTTTTAATTCACTTGTTTCCTGCCATAGGTTCAAATTAGTCAAGATTATAGTCATTTATTTTGTTTTCCTCAGGGACAGTTAGACAGTTAGCAGTGGTACTCACCCAGGAATCGGTCTCCATGGTAGGCGTGCCTCCTCTGGGCCAGTCCCTGTCCTCCCGTCAGCTCCTCTCCCCACGTGCAGGGCAGGCTGCTCTCAGCCTGTCATTTTTGGTGTCACAAAGGCTGAGGGGAGACAGAAACCATATTGCCCTCGCAGAGGTCTGGAGTCATGGGGTGGGGACAGGCAGGGGAGGAGGGAAGAGACTGACCCCTCAAGTGAGGGAACGCTCGGGAAAGGTGCACAGTCTGGCTCCCAGAATCCCCTGGATTGAAAGGTAAAACACAGTTCGTTCAGTAACACCGTGTATTTTATTTGTCTACACAGACATTCTGCTGTCAGCTGGAAGAGCTGATCCGCTGGCTGCATAACGTAGCGGACGTTACAGACCACTTGATTCCATCCAAGTCCAATCTTACAGGTCTCAAGTCTTCTCTGCAGCTTTACCGGGTAATATGTGGTCCTGGCTTATGGCCGTTCTCTCACCAGAGTGGTGGCTAAGCACTTGATTACAAAGTAGAAGCTCAAATAACTGATACTCGGTATGCTATGGCGCAATTGGCTGTTTACCTGAAATCTAATCAGAGGCCCTTTTCAGATTCTTCGTGCTGAAAAACTAAAATGTAGGAGTTACTTCCCAGGCTAAGCAGAGTTTGGAGAAAATCTATTTATCCTCAGTCAGATATACTTAAGGGAATTTGCAGTGTAATTTTGCAGATGTCTCAGGGGTTAAGTGTAGAACTGCACTATTACGAGTCACTAGTCACATATGGCTATTTAAATTAAGTACAATTAAAGATTCGTATTTTCCAGTTGTACTAGCTACATTTCAAGTGTCCCGGCATTTCTATCATCACAGAAAGTTCCGTTGGACAGCCCTGACTGGAATTTGCTTCTCCATGTGTTTGGTTTTTGGGTTGAGGGTTTTGGGTTTTGTTTTGTTTTGTTTTGTTTTTTTGCCTCTTTTTCATTAAGGTCTTGTTATTTTTTAAATCTCTTTAATTACGAGTTCTGGTTAATTTGACTTTAGATCAGGTGTATTTGGAGTGATAGTTTGTGCCTGCTGTTCTGGAATAGTTACCAGTAGGTTCCCCTTCATTCTCAGAAGTACAGTCACCCCCAGCATAACATCAGCCTTGACTGAACTACCCACAGCCCTCTAGCATGTCTGGTTGGCCAAGCATTTCTAACCTCTTTTGAAGGAGCACAGGTAGTAAGTGGGGTCTGAGCCTGTGAGGCTCGTCTAGAAAGGATTTTCTCAGATAGTCCTTTGAATTTCTGGAACCTAATCAAGTGCCTTTAGCGGAGAATGTGATGTACCCCAGCAGCCCCACGCCCTGGCAGGAGAGAGGGCCACCGTGGCGCCAGCTAAGATTCAGGGGCGGGGCCTTGCCTGGACGGGCCAGCTGCGGTACCTTCGTGGGAATGCTGTCTTCTGCCCGGTGGAGAGAGGGTGCCCTGAGTTCTTGCCCCGAGTATGCTTGAGGAAAGAGAAGACTGAGTGCGATGGGGTCCTCTGTGTGCAGCTTCCGAGTGTGTGTGCAGAGCTGAGCAGGGCCCACCCCTGGGAGGCTTAGGGGCAGTACCACTGTGGGGAGAAAGGAAATTGCCGGGAAGTTGTGCTCACACTATCTGGGTGGTCTCTCTAGAGTGCCTCAGCCTCAGCCTCATCCGCATCAAAGCAAGTGCCAAGGAGAACAAGTCCAGTCCCTCCGTTTTATCCCTCACTCTGTCCTCTGCCTCAACTTGCAGACTAGCCAGAGCACCTTTCTTGCTTTGTGGGGAGAACTGAGAGCTGAGCTGGGAGTTATCCTCACAAGTCAGTGAAGACTCGCCCTCTTGTGTCACCCACACAGCTGTGTCACGATGTGGGATCACCGTCAGCCCCTTCCCCACACAGATTGGTGCATGCCGCATGCGTATGTGTGAGCTTCCTTGACCGCTGCTTAGAGGATAGCTCGTATAAGCAAGTCTGTGTCCGTGTGTTCACATATTGTCAACCTTGACTCTGTCTCATATGCTTTGTCTTAACACATGGGGTTTATGGTAGCATATGAACTACAGAAAATACTAAAGAATAAAATAATAAGTACAGGTATTAGGGCAAAGGAAAACTAAAGACAGGAGTACAGTTAAATCCAAGAGTAAAATTCTAACTCCAGAATGTGAACCACCAAGTTCTGTCCCCTGTACCAAAGGTTGTCATGGATTTGCCTTTACACATCTTAGCAGCTAAAGAAACATCAAAAACAACTACAAGGCTTGGCCCACGAGGGGAAAACAAATCAGCTACTTAGGAGACTCACAGCTTCCCCGATGCCTCCCCGAGGCCCACGGTCTGCACAGAGCAGGGCACTGAGCGAAGAAGTGGGTGGGGGCCCTTCTCTGTGGCTCTTACCAGGTTTGTTAGAACAGAAGACAGTGTGTTCTGAGAATCCCATAGCCTTGTGAGTTTATAAAGAAACCCTGACTCCCAAGCTGTTCATGAACCAGGCTCTCCCAGGGAAAAGAAAACTCGTCTTTTGTCCAACTGTAAATGGAAAAAAGGATCGCGTCTGTATTTACTCTGGGCTCAAAGTAGGTGAAGTTAAACTAACGTGCTGCTTACTTGGGGAATTCTGAAAATGGGATAGGTTTGTCTTCCAGGGTAGAGGGGAATTGAGCTACTCCACAAAGGATCATTTTGAGTAAGTTTTACAGAACAGTAGTAACAAAGCTGCTTTCTTTCTTTTCTGATGTGCTTTAAGCAATTTAAGAAAGATATAGATGAACACCAGTCCCTGACGGAGAGCGTCTTACAGAAAGGGGAGATTCTTCTTCAGTGCCTGTTGGATAACACCCCAGGTGAGACGCTTGAAGTTTTGAATCCAGCCAGCACTCCTTCCCTCCCAGCAGCAGGTCAGGGGCCGCAGGGTCACCAGTAAGGATCCAGTAGTGCCAACCCCACCTCCCCCCCCCCACTGCCTTAGATTCTGTTGGCTGCCCGCCGGCCCTCACCTCGTCACTGCGCCTGCAGCCTCATGGTGAGCCGGTCACCGAAAGGTAAGCGGAGTCGAGCCTGCAAGGACACTCTTTTACCGTCCCCTGGCACTGACCTGCGCCGGAATGCTGGTTTTCATGCAGTCGTCCTCGGTTCTCTCACAGTAGGGGGCCCTCAGGGGTGCCCCTCCTTTCCCAGGCTGGACCCCTCTCTGGTTATGTGCTTGGTGTTCTGCTAGGAGGAGGCATCCGTTTCGGTGTTTGAGAGCAGTCCATTCTGAGGGAGCTGCTGAGAGTTCATTTTGCAGGACGGGTTCCCGATTTAGGAAAATGTAAAATCACGGACTTTTAAGAGTACGCCTAAGCATGCAGGGTGCGAGGATTCACGATCGGTGTTGCCCTTGCTGTGGGCAGGTGGGAAAGGGAGGATGAGCCCGGAGAATGCTGGGTTAAAGCCGAGAACTGACGGATTGCCCAAAGCAGCCCCTGATTTCCTATAAGACTAAACAGGCAGGAGCTTAAAGATCGCATCTGTATTCTGCCGCTTTTGGAGTGAGGTGGGGCTTCTGCGGGAAACCAAGCATAGAAGCAAAGCTGGGCCGGACCCCTGGGCTTGAGAGGCAGCGAGGTGGCGCTGGCCCGACCAGAAGCGCTGGGTGCGTGCGAGCGAGGTGGCCTAGAGCAGTTTCTCAATGGGCGCTACCCACGTTTGGGGCCACGTGATGCTGTGGCAGGCGGGCTGTCCTCCACACTGCAGGAGGGTTAGCAACATCCCTGGCCTTCACCCATTAGATGCCAGTAGCACCTCCACCTCCTCCAGTAGTGACAACCCGCAATCTCTCCAGACGTTGCCAAATACCCCTGGGAAGAAAAATGACCAGGGTTGAGAACTGTGAACGGGCAGAGGGATTTCAGTGGGACAGGGAGCCACCGAAGGACTTTCTAGCCGGGCAGTGGTTATCCAGTGTGAACTGGGGGAGCCCTTGGCAATCCCCTGCCCTCAGGAAGCCTTTGTTTTGGTTCTTGCACGAGCGTTTTTTGGGTTTTATTGGGGCAGAAATTCGGTAGGTCAGGCTCTTGTGCCACTTGTAATTACATCCGTGTTGTACTGAATGCCGTGCGCCAGATGCCGCGCGCTGAGGCACTTAACATACCAGGTTTTTGTCCCGTTCAATCACAGCCTTGTGAGACGGATGCTGTTATTACCCTCACCTCAGCGTCGCGAACTTGCCTTGGAGCCCACAAGCGGTGGCGGCCTGCTCCAGCCCCCTGCTGCCGCCTGCCCTGCTGCTGGGTCTGGAGGTGCGGGGGCCCGAGCAGGCAGGGAGCGCGCGCCATACTAGGAAACTCTGCCCAGACAGAGGCCACTTGTAACAACGGGCCTCTTAAAAGCTACAGGTTCTTTGGCCTTCCTTCAAAAACCAATCCAGTAATAACTTCTCAGTGCTTAATCTGGAAAAAGAACATCCCCCTTTGCCCTTGTCTCAACCTGAGAGTCATTTGGGGGTTCCTGTGATTTTCAGATATGTACCCGGGCCCTTTGAGATGGACTCATTGCCCCTGCCATCCTCTGCTTGGACTACCAGGAACTTGGGTGTTGTGTGAAGACCACACGTTCCCCTTGACCTTCACAGGGTCTCTTCCGCTAGATGCACTAGTGTTCAACTCTCTCCAGGGCACAGTGCCAGCATGGGTCGAGCCTGAGCGCACACCCCCTTACCCAGCTTTGCAGCCCGCTTTCTCCCCCGGCCACAAGCAGAACCATAGGAACAAGAACCACATTCACTGCCCCTCCAAAATGTGTCTGTCTCCGCCTCCTGCCAGAGGCCTCCCCGTGGAGAGCTGGCTTTTTCACTGCTTCGGTGCACGCGTTGCCAGTCCTTTCTCATACCCAAACTCCGCATGCAGCTGGATCACACGACTGGGACCTGTCGGCCCGAAGCTGACCCAGGCTCCTGAATGCATGTATTCCATTAAAACACCAAAGCCTGGCTGGGAAAGATTGCATTCTCACACCCAGCTTTCCTTTTACTTGGCCCCCACCAAATATTCTAACATCCTAAAATAAAAGTTCAGAAACAAAAATAAAGGTCCCCTGAATTCCACTGACGAACACACAGGACTGAGCCAAGGCCTGGTAAAGGTGGAGGGGAGAGCCCAGCGGCCGCCCACGCAGAGGAGCTGCACCCCCTGCTGTGGCCTCCCTAGAGGCTGATCTCCCCACAGCTAGACCTGCTTCCTTCTTCGGCCGCATCCTCTACCGATAGGCAGCTTCCCCTTTCCCTTCCGCTGCTGGCAGATGTTGCAGCTGCAGCAGGAAACTGGACGGAGTGTTAACACAGCTGATAAAGGCTCAGGAAGCTAAAGCAGCCTTTGTGTTTAACAAAGGAAATAAGGTTTTTAAGAGAAAAACAAGCCTGCTGTGATGCACTCTGAACCTAGTCCATCCCTTCCTCTTTGGAGGAAATCTTGGCCTCACTCACCTCTTGTCTTAGCTTTGCTTTCAAATCCTTTTCTTTTGAAGTCTGTTCCTCGAGGACTCACCAAAAAGGGTTCACAAGCATTCCCGAATACATTACCAGGCTACCTGTATACCTGCTAAGTACCAGTTCCCCAGCCAACAGAGGCTCTTAGGACCTGACAGCAGGACCCAATGTCCTAATCTCGGCATATTGTTTTAAGCCTGCCCCAGAGGATCTGGGTGTGCCTTGTGTCTTAACTCTAAAAGCCAGATTACACCAGTCACCAGAGAACCATGCTTCTGTGCCTTTTTGTGAATTATGTAAATCCAAAGTGGAGCCAGCGGAATTCTTCTCTCAGCTCTAATCAGAAGTTAACATGGATCCCCCAGTGCAACAGCAGTCCCTGGAGAGTCACTTGTTAAAAAGTGTGGACATCCTGAAATTATTGCCATGTTCCTATTTTGTGTAAAAATGCTACACCCTTCTATGATTCTTTAGAAAATGCAATCACATGTTGTGTTTTTGTTTTGGGGTTGGTTTTTTTTGGCCTAATTGCTTTGAACCTCATTTGTTAGTGTTAAAAGATGTCCTCGGGAGAATCTCAAAGCAGCCCAGTGAGCTGGAGAGCCATGCAGATCGCCTATATGACGCTATCTTAGCTTCTCTGGACATGCTGGCCGGCTGCACCCTCATCCCGGACAAGACGCCCATGGCACACAAGAGCACAGATGTGAAGGGGATGCGCCTGGTAAGTAGGCAACCCAAGAGAAGAAAATCTGTCCTTGGACCCCAGTGCCAGTTAGGCTACAGAGCTCCTGCTCTAACAGTTGGCTAGTTCTTAGAAGCTTGTTGAACCAAGTTATTGAAACAAATGAGATGCTAGAAGACCCTGACACTCAAAAAGGGAGATGCTACCATTGCCAGGAAGAAGGTTGAGGGTCTTCCTGTGGTGAGCTGGCTCACTGCGGTGCCTTCCGGGACTTCCTTTCACCCTTGCTGCCTGTCCGAGGACTAGGGTGCCCCGCGCTCGCACTTCTCTGCCCCTTCAAGACAACAGTGGCAAAACTCCTCTATCCTTAAACTTTTTTAATGTCTGCATGTAAACTTCTCCAGTATAGGGCCCCTGTCAGGCTCCCTGTTCTGTAGGCTCTTCTTGCCCAGCTTTTTTTTTTTTTTTAAGATTTTATTTATTTATTTGACAGAGAGAGGGACACAGCGAGAGAGGGAACACAAGCAGGGGGAGTGGGAGAGGGAGAAGCAGGCTTCCCGCCGAGCAGGGAGCCCGATGCGGAACTCGATCCCAGGACCCTGGGATCATGACCTGAGCCGAAGGCAGACGCTTAACGACTGAGCCACACAGGCGCCCCTGCCCACCTCCTTTGGTGCTCCATCTTCAAGCAACTCGAAAGCACCAAGTGCGCACAGAGTCTCACTTACTGATAGGTCCCCACCCCTCCCCTTCCCAACAATGATCTCTGCAGACTGCCTTCCAAAAAGGGCTAGGGGGATTGGTGGGGGTAACATGCCTTAGAGACTTAACAATACAACTTTCTTTTGATCTTTGGGAAAGTCGAACAGGGAATGATAGGGAAGAAGAGCTAAGAGAGCAGAGGGGGTGGGTGCCCAATGTGGGATCGCCACTGCCCAACATTCTGTAGGATTCTACAACTGGACCATATTTTTTCTGAAATTTCCTCTCCTACAACCAAAATGCGATGCTTAATTCTCAAACTTTCTAGGTGACAATTCACTGTAGCCAAGAGAACGTAAAGATAAAATCAAGGTATATCAAGAGGAGGGAGTCCCTGTACTTGCCTCAAAGAAATTTGAGCAATAGTCATTTTAGTTTTAAAATGAATAGTGATTGTTGTTGTCATTTCTTCCTCTGCAGCACTCTGCCTGTAAAAAAAAGTTTCTCTTTCTCTTTCAGGCATCTTCTCAAGCAGATATGTAATCTGTGGACTAAAACCTGGCTGGTGGGAAACTTTCAGGAAGCCCTTGTAAGAGCCATTTAACACTCAAATCAAGGGGGAAACTTAACTGTAATGTACTAGCTTTAAAATGCCCTTCTCTTCCCTGAAGTAAGGGCTTTTGAGTTACTGTTCTTTATTTAAAATGAATCCTTCCAAACTGAGGTTTTCCTTTTGGTGCTTCTCTACAAAAGCCTGTAGCTTTACAGTTTTTGATAAAATAAGACTAATAAGGCTTACAGGTCTTTCATACCCATCCCCCCCAATCCAGTTAAAAAAAACAGAGCTCCTAAAATAGTCCACCTGCTGAAATCCTTTAAAGAAGGTTCACATGAGAGAGAAGGTACCAAATACTTGGTATTTTCAGGCATACCAGAAGACCCAAGAGACTGAAAAAAAAAAAAAGATGAATCACTGGCCAGGAACTTGGGTCTTTTTATAAAATTAAGCTTAGGTTTATAAATCCCTCTTGAAGATTTTAGAAGAGACTTTAAATCCCCAAATTAATAGAAAGTTCTGAACAAATTATTTTTGGTTATTAGGACACTTTTTAAATTATCTTCAGGGTTTAGGAGAGCTCCATCTGCCTGCCTAACTAATACGTCAAAGGAAAATGTGTCAGAGACTTAGGGAACTGCCACTGAGCTTCCTCAGGACTATGGCCTGATTATCCACACCTAAAGGGTACCTCCAGGAGGACGCATCAATCCATTCCTAGTCTCCAAGATCAGGGAGGAGAAGGGCATGGATAGGGTCACGAAGCCTGGTTACAGAAGCTAAGGCTGTCAGTGGTGAAGGAGAAAAGGGAAATTCTTCATTGCTTGGGAGTGACATGTACCTTGACAGGAAAAAAAAACTATATGGATCAACCATCAGTTCTGTAGCTTTCTAAAGCAAAATGTTCAGCTGTTGCTGGTAACCACAGATTCTGCAAAAAAGGAAAAAAAACACCTTTAAAAAATTTCTCTTGTGTGAATGAACATGGAAGGAGGGGAAATCACATCTCCCCCTATATATTTCTAGCATTATGGTGGGTTAAAGACTTCAGAAAAGGATTCTTCACACTTAAATATATGTGAGATAAGCACTTAAAGATCTTTTTTCAAACTCCTTCCAGATGCTCATTGGAGGAGGGTTCTTAAGAAAGGAAGATCTCATGTTTATAAAGAAAAATGAACAAGTCATCTTGAACCTAAAGAAGGTGACATTGGAACGATTATTCTCATGAGCAGACTTCTGACATCCCCTCAGAACAAAACATTTAATACAAAATTACCTTCTTTAAAAGAAGTTTAGGACTTTAGTTTTGGGGCCACATAATCATAACACTATCTCATCTACCTCCATATGAACTTAAAGTCCTATTATTAAATGTGACTTTTCTGCTTTAAAATCTCTGACTTTATCGTCACTGGGAAAAGAAGCTGTTAAAATCTAGTATTTAAAGATTAACTACAAAAGTAAACTATATAAAGTGCACTATTTCAAGTGCCTGCTGCTATGGTATGATTTACCAATGAGCAAGGGCATGATTAGAATTCAACCCTGCCATCTCCATATTAATCTTAGTTCCATTGTGAGATTTAAAAAAGACAGGACAAAACAAAACACCTCCAGAGCAAATAATTACATACATAAAATATTCTTAAAAACCTACAGATGCTTTAAAAATGTCTAATGGCCTGTGTTCTTATATTGATCTATTTCACCTTCTCTTTGATGTGGCTATAAATTGGTACATGCCTTTCTACTGTTACAACAGCCCTGAGGCGTTAAACCCATTTATTTGCTAGTATTTGATAGACCTGTTTCTATTCACAAGAAACCTGAAGACGACAGCCCCGGGGAAACAGACTTGGCCAATGTCACAGCAAGTGAATGCTGAATATGCCATTCTGTTCCCATCCAACCTAATAATTACCAGCTTCAACAGACAGGAATTTTCAGAGCATTTTATTTCAGAGTACCCGGTTTCCCAAGAAAGTTACTACTTTCATTACAGAGATGATCTAAGATATTTTTATCTATCTCCTTTGAAATAAAGTGTGACTGAGGGTACTCTGGACCTCGCTGTGAATGCCACTGAAGAGTTCTATCTTTAGCAGTGCTATAAGGAGTTTAAGACCACCCTTAAAACTCCAGCTGAAATGGTTTCAGCCTAGGAAGCCACTGCAGCATGTCCATGAGCAGCCACAGCCGGGTTAGGGGCAGACAGCCTGGCCGGCCACTGCACCAGGGCTGGTGCGCATTCGCCTTAAGGACAGAAGTGGCTTACACGGACATAAGAGTAGTTATGAGATCCCACGTTTACCTGTAGTAACATTTCCTAGTAGTCCCTGTAAATAAACAGAATCGAAGTCCACAGGGAAGTGGTAGTACTAAGACCTGGGTTCGGGTTGCTAGACTCATCTGCAAATAGGAGATAGTATCAATACAGGGCTGTTTTGAAACTTCAACGGGAACATAAAGAAGGGATGATGTCAAGATGCTGCAATGGCAACATGTATGCTAAAGGAAATTTCAGTCAAAGGTCAAAGAACAGGAAGTTCCTGCTCAGACCAGAGTGGCTATCGTTCTATTAGGGTCTCCCAGAGATTGCAACCACTCAGGCTCAGAACACTTCACTTACATAAGCTTATTCACGGCAGCCACGGGCATTAAAATATGACAAGTGGGAATTCCCCTTATTAAGTGAACAAATTATTAAAGCTCATAGTAGCTTGAAGTGTTTGTATATTTTTTTCAAAACTGCATTTATTGTCATATGCAAAAAAGCAAATAGGGAAGCATGCTGAAACATCCTGCGGTAACAAGCCCCAGTCTTGACTGCCATGGGGGAAAGAACACTGGATTTTCAAAACTAAGTAAGTATGTAAATACGCTTACATCTTAAAATAAATTCACGTAATGTTCGTTCTTGTTAACTCACCAATAAGCTGCCAGTTTGAACAGCTTGCTGTATAAAACTGAAGTGCACAGCATCACATTAACGGTTGTAGCATTCATCTACTTTAGAAAATAGTTTATGAATTCTTTCCCCCTTTATACTGTACCATTAAGGCAAAAACCAAACCTTTGAAGGATTAAAAAAAAAAATCTTCACCCAAGTAACTATTGGGAACTTGAGGGATTTTTCAGTTGCCTTATGCGAGGATGAATAGATCCAACAAGCACATCTATAATACAAAGTAAACTATGATTTTATTGTGAAATTCTCATAGATGGAAAATTAAATTGAATATTTATTCTGTCCATTTCATTTTACAATAATCTTACCACTTATTTTTGTACCATGTATTTCAATTGCCTGTTTAGTGAAAATAAAGAAACCTATCATTTTTGGCTTGTTTTTAAATTTTATCACTGGATTAAAGATCCCACCATAAAACGTGCTGCCAACAGCCACATCCCAAGCACCTAAGTAGAGAATGTTTTGGGCTGCTATTTCAACCCCAAGGAAACAATCTCTGACTTCTGTCACCTCAAAATGTCATCGTTAGCAGAAGATTTTTTGTTTCCCACAATAAAAACAAACCTTAGGATCTTTAAGGTCCTTTTAACAAAATCTTCACATGTGCAAAATTCCACTGAAATAAATACATTTTTCTCATTTATCATTCCCACCTAGCAGTTGTGTTTTCAGTTAATTTTTAGGGATATAATTGCTAAAATTAGGGCAATCAATAGTAAATTTCCTGCCTTCTACTTTAATGCTTTAATTCTCCTCCAACCTAAATTATACAATTGTGGAGGATGAAATAGTTGACCTGTGACTCAGAGCACGGAAAAAACAGTCTCAGCACACACATTAGCCTGATCACTTGCCAGTTAGGAAAGGTGTCCTGCTTTCCACCTCTACCACAGAAGAATTAACAGTGTTGACCGATGAAGCCATTTCAAATGGTTTTAGAGAAGGAGCAGAGATAACAGACTAGATAGCATACATTCTAGACTTGTTTTCCATACAACTTAAGTCTCCCTGAACCACTAAGCTTGGTTAAATCCCAACACAGCACAGAAGCCTCCCTGGGTCATTTACCGGGTATATTATCGGAAAGCATGTTGGATGCTGCTCTAAGACAGGTCTACAGTGCCCTGGTTGCACACACACGGCTGGTCGGAGTATAATGCAAGGCTCTAATTCCCTTTAACCGTAAGAATTAAAACAATACTTATCACCATACAGTTTGATATTACTTCCAATAAGTACAATATTTATTAAACATATCTTCAGTTGTTTTGTTACATAGTGTGCAACAAATTACAATATTCTGCAGCCACAAATTATATGCAGAGTATGAAGAAACTATTAATCAGATAGTGTAATCTTTCCATTTATAACTCTACAAGGAAGAACTAGCAAATCAGATCTTACATATAACATCTCACTAAACTTTATGCATGGAAAGTGACAGACACTGGTTGTGCTGTTTGATACAAAATGGCTGAACTTCATCTTCAGAAGACTAAACCTGACATCTAAACATGCCAATATAAACATCAGAACAAAATATATTCTAACCAACCACGGGAAACAGTCTGGTATCAGGAAAAGCAACAAGGATTACACACATTATTTTATAAACCAGCACACAAAGGTTTAAAACAGTTCTGAAAATGAAGTTAGCTGTCTTGAGTCAAGGGAATAAAAAAAAAGTCAGTATTGACCATTTACAATCTCTGACCTTTGTGGAGACGGTAAGAATCTGTTGTAGTGCAGCTACATACAGTACAATTCAGGCAATTTTGTTTTTTCACTTGGGTTCAGATTGCAAATTCATTGCTGTGAGAGAAGGATGGAGGCAAATTTTAGCAGCAACCTCCACCTGACTGCTTGACCGGAGTGCTCTGAATTTTCACATTGGACTTCTCTGCACCACCAGCTGTTGCTCCAGGACCCATTCGCTTTTTAATCTCAGCTGCCATCGTCATGAAAGACTGTTCTACATTCGTTGCGTTCTTAGCACTGGTTTCCAAAAATGGAATTCCAAGGGAATCAGCAAATTCCTAAGAAAACAGTAAGGATTAATTAACACTAACATGTTTTCCCACTTAGTGCATTTCCATCATCTGAAATGGGGAGGGAGGACGGCCTGAGTTTACTGAATCCAAACAGACACTGCCCGGGCTGTAAAGGCTGTACGCTGACCGTACCCAACTTCATCCAAACCGAACACCTTCACATTCAGTTTGGAAATCAAACTTGAGACGTACCTTTGCTGTTGTGTAGTCTACTACTTTCTTTGTGGTCAGATCGCATTTGTTCCCTACCAACAACTTGTTGACGTTTTCACTGGCGTAACGGTCTATTTCCTGCAGCCACTGCTTAACATTATTGAAGGACTCCTAAGCAGACAGACATTTTTAAGAATGATCATACAGTTCTGGACACAACTGCTCTAAATAAGCACGTAAAAACCAAAGGTCTTTCCTGGCCTAAGAAGAACTAGTGAGGCAACTCTAGCTACAAAATAACTACAGTGCTGGGAAGGAAGTGAAGTGACATAAGACTATCAGTACCTATATGAAAAGAGATTAGAATCGGAAGGCTTAAGGGAGGGAAATACAGTTCATCTTTAAACTACAGCTCAAATTAAAGATTTTATTTAAAAGAGCAAGCACGAGAAAGCACAAGCAGGGGGGAGCGGCAGGCAGAGGGAGAGGGAGAAGCAGACTCCCCGCTGAGCAGGGACCCCCGACTTGGGGCTCGATCCCAGGACCCTGGGACCATGACCTGAGCTGATGGCAGATGCTTAACTGACTGAGCCACCCAGGCACCCCTGGAATATGCAATTTAAACACACCTATATAAAAACCTGTTTTTTGAAATCTGATAGAATGTTGGTTCATGAACAAGAGCGCCTAAGTGTTCTAATACTCGAGATATCGAAAGATATTAAATTACTAAATTAAAGATGCTTGTTTTCTTTTCCACAGACATATTTAGGGAAGGAAAATTTTCATACTTCAGTATCCCATGGTAATGACCTGAGATTTTTAAAATTAGCATTTTTTTTTTTCTCCTGTTGACATAACTCACCCAATACTTCTAATGGCACGGACTGAAGAAGTCTATGATTCTAATTATCTCCTAATTAGCTATGATTTCCTAGGTGAGGTGAGATTTAACATTTGCCACAGAAAAATAAATTTTAATATTCAAAGTTTATCTTTCATTCTTTGATAGAAAAAAAGGATCCTGAAATTTTCTTTCTGATCAAAAGAACATTCATGGCCCCTGGACCACCATCTTCACACTATCTCTATACCCCCTACATTCTTTCAACATGAGCTAATCTTTAGTTACTCATTGTCCTTTTTTTTTTTTTTTTAAAGATTATTTATTTTAGAGAGAAAGAGCACACTCAAGCGGGAGGAGGGAGAGAGGAAACAGACTCCCTCCTGAGGGAGGGAGCAGGGAGGGCTGAGCAGGGAGCCCCATTTAGGGCTTGATCCCAGGACCCCAAGATCACGACCTGAGCCTGAGCTGAAACCAAGAGTCGGCAGCTCAACAGACTGAGCCACCCAGGTGCCCCCTCACTGTCCTCTTAAAAATCTTCCTCCAGCTCATCCTATTTCTGAACCATATCCTCCATAGGCAGAGACTTCTAATCTCACTAAGAGGTCTAATTAACAAATTCCTGCTAATACTTCGCACCAAGAGCCCAGTATACACTAAACAAATCCACAGCTCCCTACGAACTCTTGCCAAAATGAACAAAAAGTTACTCTGATGATAAATATAAGCAGTCCCTTGAAAGCATATGTAAAAACTAAATTTCCTATTTACTAAAGGAAAATACAAAATTTTGGTTGGCCAATTTATTTGATATTCAAATAATGGAGGGAAGAAAAATATCAATGTCCCTTAAAAAGAGTACTGCTTTAGATGTTTTTTAATGTGACATTTACATTTGGGAGTGGACAAAGTGTTCTGCCATGTATAATACTGATGCCATATAAGCAAAGTCAAAGAATCTGATATTTATCAAACAGTAACTTCCTACTTTGCCACAGTAGCACAATTCCCTCCTGGAACTTACCTGATCTGTCACATCATACACAACTATGATGCCGTGGGCTCCTCTGTAATAACTGGAGGTGATTGTTCGGAATCTTTCTTGGCCTGCTGTGTCCCACTGTTATAAAACAATCAAGAAATCCAAACAATTCCGTTAAATAAGAGTTGGGGGAAAGAGCAGGAAGACGGAGAACAGTTTAAAATTTACATAGTTTTGGAAATTATCAGGATTTGACATGGAAACATTAACCCTCAATGCTCACACTCCTAAATTGCATGGTAATTGCCAAATACCTGAAGATTCAGAAAAGAAGGTAGTGCCTATAATTTAGCTTGCTGTAATGCTCCCAATAAGCTCTTTGAGTCAGAAACTTTATTTTACTTTTCATATTCCCTACAGCCCTTAGCACGGTGCAAGGCATTCAGTATGAATGCAGAGACAGGTTGACTTGATTAGGAAAGCTGCTGGCCTAATGCCTCATTAACACTGTGTACTTTCACAAATAAGACAGAATCACTTGCTAGCACATGCACTGAAAGGACCTAATTCACATAACTACTAGTCAAGACAGTACTTTAACCATCTCAGTTAGATACTATCTCAATCCTAGGAAAAACAATGTAAAGATGATTCCAAATACTTTCATAAAATCATTTTAAGATCCATTTACCACACTTTAACCATATAGGCTCAAGTAATGAAAACAAATGCTTATGTTGTTAACATTAAAATTCTGGGTTTAAAAAATTGTTAAAAACATCAAGAGGCAAACTCAACTGTTAGATTTAAAAAGAAGCAATGAGAATTTTGTTTAAATTACTCCTACTCAATGACTTTTTTTTTTTAAGATTTTATTTATTTGACAGAGAGATAGCAAGAGCAGGAACACAAGCAGGGGGAGTGGGAGAGGGAGAAGCAGGCTACCCGCCAAGCCGGGAGCCCAACGTGGGACTCGATCCCAGGACCCTGGGATCATGACCTGAGCCACAGGCAGACGCTTAACGACTAAGCCACCCAGGCGCCCATCCTACTCAATAACTTCTTAAAATATTTGTGTAATTAGAATAGCTACCCACCCCACTAAAAGAGATTGGTAAAAGATAAGACTGATGGGGAAATAGCACAATGGTTACCATTAAAAACACAAAAAAATGGACTCGATGCATAAGACAAATGGAGATTAAAAAGCAACAGCCTTTTTTTTTTTTTAATTAAATATTTTATTTTTAAGTGATCTCCACACCCAATGTGAGGCTCCAACTCATAACCATGAGATCAAGAGTCCACTGAACCAGAGCACCTGGGTGGCTCAGTCGTTGAGCGTCTGTCTGCCTTTGGCTCGGGTCATGGTCCTGGGGCCCTGGGATCGGGCCCTGCATCGGGCTCCCTGCTCTGCGGGAGGCCTGCTTCTCCCTCTCCCACTCCCCCTGCTTGTGTTCCCTCTCTCGCTGTGTCTGTCAAATGAAAAAAAAAAAAAAAGAGTCCACTGACCCAGCCAGCCAGGGACCCCAACAGCCTCTAAAGGGAGGAACTGTAAAGTTTTGGAATATATTGATCCCCACTAACGTCTTAAATGGCAAAACTAAAGGTTCAGGAACACTCAGTGAAACCACATCCTTTTTTTTTTTAAAGACCCAGCCCTACTGCAATTGGGGGGAAATCTGAATACAGACTGGATATTAAGAGAATATTATGGCATTAGTGTCAACTTTGTTAGATGTGAAATGGTGGTTACACAGTAAAATAGAGATGCACGCTAAAGTATTTTTGGAGTAAAATATAATGTCTGTAATTTAGCATTCTCCAGGAAAAAAAAGAATGAAGCAAATAAGGTAAAATGTTAACTGTTAATCTAAAAGCAAACAAACAAGTCACCACAGCTTCATTACCTTTTCTGTCCAAAGTACTAAGCTTGAGAGCGCAGAAGACTATTTAGATCTACTGTGTAAGTGAGGAGCCTCAAAGTCTTTCAGGATATCCGTGGAGAAGCATGAGCTTTGGAGTCAAAGCAACCTGACTTCAAAACATCAAACCTACGTTCCTGGTTATTTAACACTAGGGAGAGTCACCTAACAGTTTTCTCAACTACAGAGCCTAGGTATCACTCACCTTATAGAATTGCTAAAGGGGTTTAAATGAACTAATGTTTGTAAAATGTCTAGCCTGATTACAGAAGCTGCTCCGTAAAATATTAGTTCCCTTCTCCACCCACCAACCCCTTTCACAAAGATAGCAAAATTAGACAAGAAAAGGAAGAAACTGTTTCCGAACAAACGCTAACATAAATAATTGTAGCTGACTAAGCAAAGGCATCCGAAGAGTAAAATCTCTGATGTTCTCCTTGCCGCTCTGAAAACTCCTGTGACTTTTCATCCTAACAGTACTTTCCTCTCTAACTGATCACCCTTTTATCTAATTCTCACTATCCCTCATAATCACAGGGTAACTGATTTTTCCATGTTTGTCTCTCCCACTGAAATGGAATCTCTTTCTAGGGGGCTCTGTTTCCTTCATCTCTATAACCTTGCATCTATCTTTGAATGGATTAATTATGAGAAAAGGGGATGAATCCTGAAGTGCAGGGGAGAAAAAAAATTCAAAGTCCAAATCAAGAGAAAATTTACCCCATGTAGTTCACACTGGCTGGACTCTATCTCATGTATGATTACATATACATACATATACAGTATGTATATGTACGTATATCACATACATATACATACTGTATATGTATCCCATTTTAATAAAAGGCACTCCTACAATGTGCAAGAGTGACCAAAATTGTAAAAGGTTCTGGAAACATGCTTCCAGAAAGGAATGACTGACTTCAGAAGTAGAAGGTTGTGATAAGATCAATCTAAAGGGCAAGCTGCCAACAGAAAATGAATTAATTGCGTTTAGGCGGCTCCGAAAGGCAGAGGAATAAGAGAAATTAAAGGAAACTGGCTTCAGCTCAATATAAAGAATTAACAATCAGAAGTTATTTATAAATGGAACTAGCTGCTTTGAAAAATGGTGAACTTCCCAGAAGTGTTCAAAAAAAAGGGCACCAGATAGCAAAAGGAAATTCCCACTGAAGATGAAAGGAAGACCGAGTGACTGACCTGTTAGATGCCTTCCAGCCACAGGAAAGTAACAATAAATGGATGTTTCACAAATATACACTAAAATCTCATGAGCTCAATGATGACACACAATCATTTCACATTACTAATTAGGTTAGACAGTTGGGTACATCTTTTTTTGCAATATTTTTTGTGGTACCAAGTATAAAGTTGGCACTCTACATACAATGGGAAAAATCAATATGAAAGGTAATCTGTTCACGGGTTCAAAGAAGTAAGCTATCTCTGGTAACTATATCCTTGCCAAGTCCTAATTTGTAGTATCAAGTATGGTCACTTGTATGGATCCACAGTTCTTTTGTAATGTACCTTCTTTTTTCTTATCAAAGGCAGATGAGAAAATGGGGCAACTAAAAATACAAAAAACTGTCAAACATCCATTTATTTGGGTATGTCACATCACCAGTAACATTTATATAATGTCCAAAAGTTTACAACAGGCTTTCACATACATTATCGTATCCACACACAGAGAGCTACTGGATTTGGTTCTCACAACTACCTTGTAAGTTAGTAAATCAAGTACCATCATGCTCATTTTAGAGATAAGAAATGGAGTCCCAGGAAAAAGGCTCAAGTAAGTTAAACACATGACTCTTTGACTCGTAAATACCAGAGTGAAGATAACATATCCAAGTTTCCTAACTTCAAATCCAGAACTCCTTCTAGCAGTCACTGGTTTTCTGTTACCTTGTACGAAGAGTCAATACCGAAAGATACCCAGAAATTAATGTTTTTAAAGACCAGTGATATGTCCACACTCGTAGTGCCCAAACCCATATAAAGGTGATACAACTGAACTACTACAATTGCCTGTTTTTAATTCAGGGTTGGGGATGGAAGGAATGGATAAGGGGGCTAGGATGGCACAGGGACACAAAATACTGAAGCTGTGAGTCACTTGGTTCTGCCAGTAACTGTGGGCAAGTCATTAAATCTCTTGGCATTAGTTTTCTGAGCTGTAAAACATGTTAAAAAAGCTAAGTTCCTTTCCAATAAAATTCTGTTTCTACAGAGTTGGTACATACAATCTAATAAATACAAAAGAACTAAACAAAACTTTTCAACTAACCACATACATGAAAACCCTCTCCCCTAAGGTTTCTTTTAATGTGCCATGGTATTCAACACAGTAAAAGACATCAGGAAATGCTCAATCTACTTTCACTATTAAGGTAAACTTCAACTGAGGACCCCCCCCCCAACTGATAAAAGCACAAGAGAAAGAACTAGGACCAAGTACGACTTACAACACATATTTCTTTATGAACAGAAAATTCAACGAGGAAGGTAATCTTAGAGAAGTCATTTTTCATCTAAATTCTTATTCTACCATTCTATCACAAGTACATGATTCCTAAGATCCTTTCACTTTTAGCATGTTAAAAAGTAAATAATACATTTTAACTTTACCAAAATGATTTCCAAAACACATTCTAGTCTAAAAATGACTTACTATTTGAAGCTTGATTGTTTTCCCATCTAACTCTATAGTTCTTATTTTGAAATCCACACCAATTGTGCTGATGTAGCTTTCTGTATATGTATCATCCTGAAGGGAAAAAAAAGTCGACATATAAACTTAATGTTCAGTAGAGGAAATATGAAAATATGTCAATTTTATCTACAAAGTTGATAAACTTTATAAGCCATAACATGTTGAGAACAGCTACTTCATCCCACTCCAGTACTCAGTTCATGTTCTGATTACAATACACTTTTTAATAGCAGTTTCTTCTTAGGATTTTCTCAATAGCTGTTCTTTAATTTTACCAAACATCTCTAGGCAAATTCTTTACATACATCATATCAAAAAAGGTTTCATATTTTCAATGATTACAAATGATTTTTCTAATTGCTAATCAGCAAAACTCTTGCTCCCCTGACCCTCCATCCCATGTATTCACCACAAAGGAATGCTCCTGTCATTCTCTTCCAGTTTTTTTTTTAGGAGTCACTTTTACTTCCTAGCTATGACTTTTAAAAATTTAGATATAATACACATACCATAAAATTTACTTTTTTGAAGTGCACAACTCAGTAGTTTTTAGTATATTCCTAAGGTTGTACAACTGTCACCATTATTTATTGCAGAACATTGTTATCACCCCGAAAGGAAACCCAGTAGCAGTCACTCTTCATTTCATCTCCCCTTCGACCCCAGAAACCACTACTAATGCAATTTCTGTCCCTATGGCTTTGCAAATTCTGGACATTTCATGTGAATGGATGTGGCCTTTTGCGTCTGGCTTCCTTCACTCAGCATAGTTTTCAAGGCTCATTCATGTTACAGCATGTGCCAGTACTTCATTCCTTTTTATGGCCGAATAATAGTTCATTGTGTGGACAGACCACATTTTGTTATCCATCAGCTGACAGACATTTGGGTTGTTTCCACTTTTTGGCTACTATGAATAATGCTGCTATGAACATCTGTGCACAAGTTTTTGTGTGAACAATGTTTAACCCAATGATAAACTTTTAAAATTACACCTGTTTTCCTCAAGTATCTGTTAGGATATTCAGAATGGAAACAAAACTTTTTCTTCAAGTGAAAATGTTTGTGAAAAGATATGTGAATGGAGAGATCAGCTATCACCACCTAAACCCACTGAATAATCTTAGCCAGCACAAAGCAACACCTAGCAAGTACTCTGCCAACAAAGATGGGCCTAAATCTATTAAGAGCAGCCCTATCAAAGAGAACTTTCTTTAATGATGGAAAGGTTCTATAAACTGTGCTAGTCAAAACAATAACCACTAGCTAGTGAGAATAAGGAACTGAATTTTAAATTTTATTCAAATTTAATTAATTTAAATTTAAATAGCCACATGGGGCTAGTAGCTACCATAAGAACAGCAGAGTTCTGGGCTTCCAATTACAGTAACAGGAGGGATAAAGGAAAAGTTTAAAGTCACCACAAAGAAGCAAAGTGACAAATCTAAAATGCTGGATAATCTATATGACAACTGCCCAAGTTCTGCAAAAAGTAAAAGACATGAAAAATACATAAATAAAAAAGGAGGTTGGAAAAACTCTGGATTAAGAAATTAAGAAGCAAACAACCAAATGGAATGTATAGACCATGTCTGAATCCTGATTCAAAACAACTGTGATACCACACTTCTGAGACAATCAGCAAAATTTATTTTCTAAGCTGACAATGGCATTGTTATTTTATAAGAAAATGTCCAGTTTTTATTTATTTACTTTTTAAAGACTTTAAGTAATCACACACAGCGTGGGGCTCGAACTCACAACCCCGAAATCAAAAGTCACATGCTCCACCAACTGAGCCAGCCAGGCGCCCCCAAAATGTCCAGTTTTTAGAAATGCATATTAAAGTATATAGGAGTGAAGTGACACATTTGGGATTCGCATTACAACACTCCAAAAAAGAGAACGGGAAGAAATGAAATCAGTGTGGGCAAGACACCATAATGTTGAATGTAATGTGTACATGGAATTAAAACAAAAAAGATCGAAGAAAATTGTCAAATGTGTGTCAGAGAGTTCCAAGTGTCTAGAGGTAGCCATGTTGACTTCCTCATATAGTCACATTTATGCACATGCAGAATAACTGAGTAAAAGGATTATTTTTAAAGCACTGAATGCAATTTGACAAAATGCTGGTCACCATTACTAGGCATTCATTTCTTATAAATCTTATTTACTTCTTTCTAAATGAGTGCCTAATAAGTATCAGGTATGACAGAAAGAGGACGGAGAACAAAATGAGTGCAATAAACATTCACTTAGCACTCCCACATGACAGGTACTTTGTTGGAAATACTTACTATAAATGCTTTCTTAGAATTTTTGTAAGTTCCTAAATGTGCCTTACTTGCATACCTCTGAGCCAATACACATTCTCTTCCTTCTGTCCAAATTTTCAGTATTTCTTTCTGCATACCTCCTAATCTCTAGCCCCTGGGTCACAATTTTTATTCATTCTTGGATTTTGAGCTCAGGCAATACTGACTGTCCAAACGGTCTTTAACTCTTGGCCAATAATTAGAGATTCTTCCTTCTGTGCTCCCATAGCTTATACATTTCATTATTATACCTTGTGCAGCTCCTCTCTATTCTAGAGGCCCGGGAATCAGTATTTTTTAAATGCTTCCCAGGCAATTCTACTGTGTGGGAAGGCAGTACTGAAAACCTGTGACTTAGGGGCGCCTGGGTGATCAGTCGTTGAGCATCTGACTTCGGCCTGGGTCATGATCCCAGGGTCCTGGGATCGAACCCCGCATCAGGCTCCCTGCTCAGCAGGAAGCCTGCTTCTCCCTCTCCCACTCCCCCTACTTGTATTCCTGCTCTTGCTGTCTGTCAAATAAATAAATAAAAAATCTTGAAAACCTATGACTTAGATCAACGAGCATCCCAGAGAAGACTGTCTTTGAAACACAGACACCTCAGGCTGTACTCATTTTCATCAAGAGATGCCAGATTCTTCCCACATACCTAGCACTGCTGATTTAATATAGGGATGATTCCTGATTTTAATATTTGCCAATTTAATAAAAATTAAGTATTACCTAGTTTTAAAGTCCTTTAATTACAAATAAAATTGAACTTTTCATATTTACTGTCAATTTGTGTTTCTTCTTTTGTGAACTGCCCATTCGGTTATTCGCCCATATTTCCATTAGGACAAACATCCTTTTCTTATTTAGTATGTAAGTGTGCTTTATATATTGAGAAGATCATCCCTTCATATTTTTTTGCTATTATCATGTTTTCTAACATTTTCATGCGCTTGACATGAATTTTAACGCAATCAAATTTAACAATCCTTTCTTTCCTGATATATTTCCATGTTAGAAAGTATTTTCACACAAGATTAAAGAGCCACCTATGTTTTATTCTAGTAGTTCCTTGGTTTCACTAGCTGTTACATATAATAAAATTATATTAGGGGTGCCTGGGTGGCTCAGTCAGTTAAGTGTCTGCATTTGGCTCAGGTCATGATCCCAGGGTCCTGGGATTGAAGCTGCATCAATCAGGCCCCCTGCTCAGCAGAGAGCCTGCTTCTCCCTCTCCCTCTGCTGCTCTCCCTCCTTGTGCTCTCTTGCGCTGTCAAATACATAAATAAAATCTTAAAAAAAAAAAAAAATTATACATTTTTTAAATGATATTCATTAATACAGTCACTCATCAGAAAAGTCACAGTAAGTATCTGACATGCTATCAAGATCACAGTGGCGAATTTTAAGTTTTCTAAACTTCTAATCTGGGCGCCTGGGTGGCTCAGTTGGTTAGGCGACTGCCTTCGGCTCAGGTCATGATCCTGGAGTCCCTGGATCGAGTCCCGCATCGGGCTCCCTGCTCGGCGGGGAGTCTGCTTCTCCCTCTGACCCTCTCCCTTCTCATGTGCTCTCTCTCGTTCTCTCTCTCTCAAATAAATAAATAAAATCTTTAAAAAAAAAAAAAAACTTCTAATCTTCCCTTGAAGACTAGAAAGCTTGAATTTTATTACAGACAGCAAATGCCATCAGATATTTTCCTTGAAATGATAGTCTCAGTTCATTTGAGAAAATGTCTGCCCAATACCATCAAATTATACATAACTAGTTTGTCAGTTGTTCTTTCAAGTAAAACAAAAAGAAACAAATTTAAAAAATGAAAAAAGCTGCTAGTTCAGCTCACAACTCAACTATGCAAGTGCTTTTATTTTCCTCAAGACAACCAACATAATTCAGTCTGCAGTACACGTGCTTTATATGTACTCCTCATTTTTCTCACAAAGAACATTTAAAAAAGAATACTCAAGGATCACGATTTTTAGAAATTATTCATTTTTACTATTCTCATCAGACACTCTTAAGTGAAAACTCCCCCCCGCCCCGTGAATAAATACAGGTAAATACCATGACTATGAGTACAGTTCAGCACTTAGCACTGCCTTAATGTGGTGCTGAGGCACCAGCAGTTTTGTCCACCACTGCATCTGCATCATGAGAGCAGATGTCAACACAGTGAAAAAGGCAAATGTCTTTTGTCTTAGTACTAAGTAAGTACTTACTTAGTAAATACTAATGGCTTAGTATTATTAGGATAAAAGTTTTAATCTCATGGACCCTCTGAGAAAGTCTTGATGATCCCCAAGGGTCTTTGGTCCATACTCTGAGAACCAATGACCTAGACAGCAAGAAGGAAAACATGCTAAATTTGAAGGCAGTTGAGAAAGACTATGAAGGAGACTGTGGGCTCTATTCAGTAGGTTTAAAGTTATATACCTCTTCATAAAGTGCAGCATATAAAACACTACGTATGCCATTGTCAAAAAAAAAAAAAGTTTGTACCAGGCCCGGCTTTTTCCTTTATTCTACCAAAATTTTCCTTGAAGATTCATTTTTTCATCAAGTCACTTAAACACAGGCCAACTATTTGAACTCTACCAAGAGTATTAGACATTCTAACTTTATAATCATGCTTAGCTGAATTTCTTTTAAAAGCAACAGCATGTCCTCTACTTAAGAGTCCAAGATATCACTGGGAATATACAGTTGGGGGCTTTTAAATATATAAATTCTGGAAGAACTACTTTATTCTGAATAAAATTGTTTAATCCTTTGTCTACCTAGAAAACACACACAGCATTAATTTCTTTAAAGGCATTTCAATTTCAACTTACTGCAAACCTAAGAAGGAGGCAAGACTTTCCAACCCCAGAGTCGCCAATCAGAAGTAACTTGAATAAATAATCACTGCAAAAAGAAAAAGAGGATCACATTAATAAAAAGCATACTTCATTCTAAGTTCTACAACAAAAATATAGCCAACAATAGCTCACTCGAGGACTTCTAAAAGGCCCATGAATGGCTTCAGAAGCCCAAACTGCAACCAACAGCAGAAGCCCTTTTCATGAATCACTAAACATGACAGAATTATGTAAAAGGTAAGCAATGCCACCCATGATCTCTTGAGATGAATGAACTTCTACTTCCAAGGAAAGAATGAAAGAAAATATAAGTAATGTGTACTCTTGGAGAGCCCAAGAGACTTATGCTAGATAAATTCCACTCCTCTGCAGTATTAGAATACAGGGAGTTAACTTTCCATTGTTCTTGCCAATGAAACATAAATCTCTCCTTCAAATTCCAAGACCAGATCATTATTTCATAGCAATCCTCCAAAGAAGGGGCTTTTGCGATCCTTTCCTAGCATCTACCTGGAATTCTCCCCATTTAAAAAAAAAGGGGGGGGATCATTTAAATTCTAAAAACCTGTATTAAAAAATATTTTAGACTAGAGATGTGGTAAAAATCAAATGCTGTTTACATAAACATACAACTTTACCAACTTTCTAAGTTTGTATTAAAGCTTTCTTCAGAAACTGAAAGCTAGGCTCTATTTACATATATTAACCTCCCAGGCCTAACTCAAAAACCAGCCCCAGGGATTCCTTCCAAGAACAGGATTCCTTCCTGGACCTAAAGACAACATACTGCCCACGGCCTCCCAAGGAGTCCCTCACAGATCCTTTTCAACTTGGACCACTGCTATGTATTCTTTTAAGTAATTTCAAAAGGACCCCAAAATTGAGAATTTACATATTTTTTAAGGAAACCTATTCATGATTTTCAGTTTTGTCCTTTGTGATTTAAAAAAAAAATGATATTTGAACTTAAGATGAAACCCAAATATCACTCACAATTTAAATTTAGATGACAGTTATCATTATTTAAATGTAAGCAAGATATAGAACTTTCAGAAGTAATCATCTCTGTGGATATTCATCAACTGCTACCTAGGTTTACATAGTAATACATATTACTTAAAAAATTTTTCTAGGTTTACCAAGTTATCATAATACATTTATTGTTCCTAATTATATCTGGAAAAAAAAAGAATTAAAAAAAAAAATCCAAAGTGCCCTTGTCAGCAACAAAATAAAAATCACAGAAGGAAATAAGCAGCTTTTAAACAAGTCATTAGGAAGGGGACTGAAGCACAGGATGAACTAAGTAACACCCTTTCCAATTTGAGATCCTAAAGAAAAAAAGGAGAGGGGAAGGGGTAATAATTGTAAAATTTACCCTTAATAAATAATACCTAATACCAAACAACTTTTATTAGCCAGTAAAGCTGCTAACTGACTTTAGTACTATTGACACCCTCCTTTGAAAAGCTAAATAAATTCTTAAGAATGATGAACACTGAACATCAGCAATGAGTACATGGTACATGTTAACAATTTACATTTCAGTTAGCAACAATAATCTCACCGTTAATACTACTTTGCTTTTAACAGAAATGTAGACACAACAAATGCCCTGAATTTACCAATCTCCCAGAGCACCGTGCCATGCATCCAGTAAACACTCAATAAAACCCCCTGAAATGGCTGTACTGTAACCCATAACAATAAAGGACAGCACTAGGCCACAAATATTCATTACCTTAAAGATCAACTTCTCTATTTCAGAGTAACCATAAGGCTGGAAAAAGAAAAACAGGAATGCCTCCTAATAAGTGTTACAAATTACATTATGTCTAAATGAAATTAATAGTCAATTTTCTAAAAATCAACTTTTTCAATTATCACATTCACTTTAACTTTTAAAAAGTGTTATTTTAAAACATTTATGAGTTTGATAATTTAAGGTTCACAGCTTTATAAACAATATGAACAGTTAGCACTCTTCTCTGCAATGAGATAATTATTGCTAAAGACTACTTTGTTCTCTCCCAAACCATCAGCTTTACTAACATGACAAGAGACATGGAGGAGAATGGCAAACAAAATCAATCTCACAAATTTCTTCCTCTTGTTGAATAAACATACCTGAAGAGTGTGATCAATAGCATGTTACTTGCATTGGGACATTTAAAATTACCTACCACTAAAAAATAAAAAATAAAAAAATAAAATTACCTACTACTGTAGTAGCTTATTTCTAAGTTATTAATATTCCGAATGTTCAAGAGAATTCAGAGATTTGAGACTGCTTAAAGATATTTCTCTAACTATAATTTATAAAATACAGTAAAAATATTGACAAAAATATGCAAATCTTAAAATACAGAGCATAAGGTGAGAATTCTGGTATAAAGTCAAGAATAATTTAGCAAATGGTGAGACTTTAAATGTATTTTTCCTCTATTCCCCAAGAACTTGGATCAGTCTACAATATAATTTAAGTGAAAAAACTGTATTATTCTAGTTCGGATATCTATACTCACAACTGTAATAACCACTCTTCTACTTTAGATTTTCTAGTAAATCCTATTCACTGTTCTCAGAACTTCCTCTAGTCTTTTTCATGTCTATGTCTAATTTACTATGACACTGAATATCTTCTCCCCCTCAGTAGCCTGGAATCTATTTTTCCCCACTCTTATGTCTGACATATCTGTGAGTGTGAAGATAAATCAACTCATTCTTCTGTGTATCCAAAATCTAGCATTGTGTCTTTTACAAAGCACGTGCTAACAGATCAGAGAACATTTTAATTTTGCATTTTTAATCAGATTCTCTCATTGTGAGATACAGCTAAAGAAGACCTACAGCCATCCTTGATTAACATTTTGGGCAAAAACCAGGGGGAAAAATGGATGGGGAGATGGCATGTCAAAAGGACACAGGAGCCAACCTGAAAGTTCTGTCACTGGTCAAGGCAGAATAACTCGAGCCACAAAATAAACAACCACGTATTGGGTTATAAGCCAAAGAATAACATAAACATCCATGAGTTCATACTGGTATCAATTATTAAATAAATAAATGGGAGAAGAGACCAATCTTCCTGACAGGAGTCTAAAAATATGTGTAGAAGGAATTAGGTAGAAATTCATTAATAGATCACCACAGTAAGAACTGCTGCAGGCAAAATCCACCGGTGAATACTAAGATTTGTGAATAAACTTTAAGGAAAAACAGAATATTTACATGGCCTCAAAGTATGTCCCTGCCAAATATTTATTACTGTGGTGGCTTTAACATGTGTCCACAAATTCTCTGAATACTCCTCCCTCTAGGAGATGGACTTAATTCCGTTTTGTTGAGTGTGGGCTCTTAATGACTGCTTTCTAAGAGTATGGAAAGGGAAATACAGTAACTTTATAATGGAGAAACCTGACAGCCAACACTTCAAGTGATTAAGGTGAATATCACCAGGAATAAGTCATGTTGATATCATGTACCCTCTGATATGATGTGGCGAGTAGAGTGCTTCACCTTTATAGTATCTTCCCCAAAGTCCATAACCCCAGTCCAATTATGAGAAAACATCAGACAAATCCAAATTGAAGGACATTCTACAAAATACCTAATAGTACTCTTCAAAAGCGTCAAGATCATGAAAAAGAGGAGACTGAGAAACTCACAGACTGAAGGAGGCTAACACGTAGAACCAACTAAATACAACGTAGTATCCTGGACTACATTCTGCAAAAGAAGACGGACATTAACAGAAAAACTGAAGAAACTGTAATAAAAGTCTATAGTTTAGTTAATAATGTACCAATACTAATTTCTTAATTTTGATAAATGTACCTTGGTATGAAAGATGTTAATATTAAGAGGAAGCTAGGCGAAGGGTATACAGGAATTCGTGTACTATTTTTACAACTCTTCTATAAATCTAAATTTATTTCAAAATAAAAAGGTTTAAAAAAATAAAGTGTGAGGACATTAGTGAAATGGGTACAAAACAACAATCTCTTTGATAAGCTAGCTCCTGATATTTTTTAAACATAAGAGAGACATTTTGTGTTTTCTCAAGTTAAATCAACAAATCATAAATCATGCTGGAATCTATAAGATAAAAACTTAATAGCTGCTTTTCAGGCACAAGTATTTTTATTATCAGGGAAAACTCTTTTGAACTGCTGAATTTATAACAACACAAGCATTTTAATTTAAAGAGGAGATAATTCAGTGAGAAAGCTAAGAAAGTTAAGGTAAGACTGACACAGATTAAGGCTAGACAGGGGTAGGTTTGGGGAAATTAACAGCTTTTAACAACTGGATGGTGGGGCATCAAAGATAATAGCAAGTGAAAAATTTTTTGCTATCAGTTTCTCCTGTAAGTCAATTCATGGTCTACTTTAGCAATATTGGAGATTCTTTATTTCCATTATTTAAGATCTGGACATAATCTGTTTTCTTTTTTTTTTTTAATATTTTATTTATTTATGTGACAGAGAGAGACCTCGAGAGCAGGAACACAGGCAGGGGGAGTGGGAGAGGGAGAAGCAGGCTTCCTGCGGAGCAGGGAGTCTGATGCGGGGCTCGATCCCAGGACCCCGGGATCATGACCTGAGCCGAAGGCAGACGTTTAACAACTAAGCCACCCAGGCGCCCCTGGACATAATCTTGATACCTCTACCATTTTTGTATGCAAGCACTAACAGAAAATTTTCTGTACCTTTAAAAAAGACACTATTGTGAGTATGAAGCATTATACTTTTAAAAAGTTACTAAAATAAACTTTGGTTCAAAATTCTACTTAGGTAAAATGGTTTCCTTCTCATGAAGTTACCAAACTGCATACATAAAATATGTAGTAAGGAAAGAATCTGCTTATGTCTGAATCTAAAATGCTACTGGGAATTCTAAAATTTCTAAAAAGACTGTCTATGTGAAACACTCTTATGTGAAAAGATTACATTTTGTTTAGTATAACCCATTTCACATTTTTTTTTTAATTTTCACATACAAAAAAATATGGGGGAAAATGGGCACTTCTAAATTTTAGGATTG